CGGTCAGCCGGCTCGCGGCGGTCGCGGGTCGGGCGCAGGCGGCAGGCGGTCGCGGCGGTCGCGGGCCGGTCGCGGCGTCGCGGCGGTTCGCGGCCGGTCGCGGGCGGTCGCGGCGGTCGCGGGCGGTTTCGCGGCGTCGCGGCGTTCGCGGGCGTTCGCGGGCGGTCGCGGGCGTCGCGGGGCGCGGCGTCGCGGCGGTCGCGGCGGTCGCGGCGGTCGCGCGGTTCGCGGCGTCGCGGCGGTCGGCGGCGCGGGGTCGCGGGCTCCGCGGCGGCGTCCGCGGGTCGCGGGTCGCTCCGGGCGGTCGCGGCGCGTCCGGGCGGTCGCGGCGGTCGTCGGCGGTCGCGGGCGGTCGGCGGCGGTCGCGGGCGGTTCGCGGCGTCCGCGCGTCGCGGGCGGTCGCGCGTCGCGGGCGTCGTCGCGCGTCGCGGAGTCGCGGGCGGTCGCGCGCGTCGCGCTCGCGGGCGGTCGTGGTGCGGCCACTACCCGTCAGGATGCACATCGATAATGATATTTCCAATACATCATCTTCCAATAAATACACCAATGTTTTAAAACACACCGAGTTATTAACACATCTATTTTTATTCTCAATGTTTTTACTTTTTGATGTTTGTTTGTATTATGAAAATATTCCATAACACAAATTTGAAAAGTAAAAATATGAAATAACTGATGATACCACTTACCTTATGTCGAGACGAAGTGAAATGCAATTATACTGCCTTCGTCGAGCAGACTTTCTCTCACCAGAGAAATGAACCCCGATTCTTGTATTGCCTTCTCATTTCCTCGTATTCGCACTGGAGAGGTGGTCAACTTGAATGCAGTAACCTATTGCCACCTGCCCTCCTCAGGGGCTCTGTCCCCTTCAGCCGCTGTTGTTTTCTGTTGTTGTGTTTGTTTGTTTGTTGTTTTTTTCTTGTCATTGGTTAATCTTACATGATTTGCGTAGGCTATTTCATATACGTAGAGTATTTATTGATTTATTCATCTAACATTATAAGTGTTTCACTGTTAAAATTGTAATAATAATAAGTATAGAGTTATTGTTATATGTGAGTGTTTAGAAATCTCTTTATCCTTAGTATAACACTAATTATGAGCGTTTTTTATCATACACTGAGCCGTCATTGCAATGACAATTACGATGCTTAACTATTGAAACATTAAATATTTGACACAAAAGTCAGGTCATAATCGTAACGAGAGAAAGTAAAATGTTCCAATAGGAGAATGCCTGTGATAGAGATTATTATTATTTTCTGCTCTGTGTTTTATCCAAAATGGTCAGACAGTACTTTGCCTTTAATTTAAAAGACAACGCCCATGTATGCCTGTCGATGGATATCATTAATTTCCGAAAACGTTGCTGTTTTATTGTATCACATATAATTTTATGTATGATATAAAGCAGTGATTTTGATGTAAATATTCTGTCTTAAATTAAAGAGCCAAAAAAAAGTTATAATACAGAATGCGTTGTGATACTCAATGAGTATGATGATGATGATTGATGTTGATGATGATAATGATGGATACATGATTTTTAGCGTGACAATAATTGTTAAACTTTTTCTGGCGTCTGAAAAAATTCTGCTTTCTTGGGGCTTATTCTTGCCCCTTTGCAATAGAAATGGTGATCTCAAATCACGTGACGTGAAACAAGAAGCTTGAAGTAAGCAAACTTTCACTTCACGTCGTTATGTTTATTCCACGCTACGCTTACGTTTCGCATTCTGCAACCGCTTCTATCGAAAACACGGCATAAGGATTTTACATTCAGTTACATTTACGTTTCATTGTGCGACGGGTCTTAAGCGAGGCCCGCGCTTCGTAAGTGCGCCCCTCTTCGATGCGCGTAACGTAGTCCGCGCTCTATATTTCGTTGTGGATAAATAAAAATTGTGACATAAATTTCAAATTTTAAATCAGACGTTTCAAATTGTTTGTAAAAACAAAGAATAGTTAACGAAAGAAAAACCATTTTCAAATAGCATTTTGCATTCACTCAGCAAACGTATGCCTTCATTGCAAAATGAACAATATTGCAATAGCTGATGATTCAGGAACAAAACTTCTAGTATCTTAATTCAGTCAAACCTCAAATGGAATGTACAATAACAGAATTAAACACTAAATTAAGCTTCATTATGTCACGCATTCAAATTCTTTCAAATTCTGACAGTCTCATGCGGCTCTTGCGTGTATTTTCAAAGTCATTCTCTCTGAGATATGCATAATTATCTAAGAAGCTCATTTAAGTGTTGGTGTGTATGTATGGTATGTATGTATGTAGTATATATATAATATATAATATATATATATATTAATATATATATACACACATATATATGCTGAATGGCCCCTTGTTTTTGCTTCTAGCGTTAAAGTATAGCTACCACT